GTACATCGAAGACTACCTATACAGGTAGCCCTCGGCTTACAACAGTCACTAAACGAATGGTTATAAGTCGAGGACTACCTGTATTCCTTGCACCCGAAAACCCATCAACAATGAGGACTTCTGGTTGACCTCTCCCACTCTTCTTCTCCCAACCCTTTTCTAGAAGGTTCCAGAAAACGGCCATCTCGCCTGACCCGAAACGCCGAAGCGCACCCGAGACATGGCGAGAAGTCTGTGCTGAACGGCACCCGGGATGGCAAGTCGGACGAGAGTGCCACGCAGTATGCGGTGCTGGCCATCGTCCCCGTCTTCTGCATTATGGGCTTGCTTGGCATCCTTTTCTGCAACCTGCTGATGAAAAAGGGGTACCACTGCACGGCCCAGAAGGAGACCGACGAGGAGGCCACCAAATTGGACAGAACCGGGGAGGGGGGAGGGGGGGCGGATACCGCTTGTGTGAAGTGTTTTTGGCAATCCTGGCAATGCTGGGGAGGTCTCTCGCCGTCTTTTGGCACTCTGCACGTGCTTTTGAGCAGTGGCATCTCATCATTGGCTCAAGGTCAACTTGTGAGCATGTGCAGATCGTATTTGATGACATCCGGGAGAGTGGGCAGAGCGTCCTCCTGCCACTACTACAGGTAGCAACCGACCACTGCCTAGGACCATAGAGTCCCAGGGATGGAAGGGAACTCTTTCTACCAGGAGTGTCCAACTGTGGCCATTTTATGACTTGTGGACTTCAACTCCCAGAATTCCTCAGCCAGCCATTTTAAGCATTGTGGACTTCAACTCCCAAAATTCTGGGAATTCTGGGAATTGTTAAAGTGACCACATTTTTTTTTTTTAAAAAAATTGATATATATGCCGCCCTTCTCCGGAGACTCAGGGCGGCTTACAATGTGTTAAGCAATAGCCTTCATTCTTTTGTATATTTTTGTACAAAGTCAGCTTATTGAAAACTGGGTCCTCAATTTACCTACCTTAGAAAGGATGGAAGGCTGAGTCAACCTTGAGCCTGGTGAGATTCGAACTTGCAGTAATTGCAGGCAGCTGAATGTTAATCACAAAGCTTTTAGTCTGCTGAGCCACCAGGCCCGTTCGGAGAGCTCTGGAATAGACAATGCCTAATTATCAGAGACAGAACCATAGCTGGCTGGGGGATTCTGGGAGTTGAAGTCCACAGGTCCTAAAGTTGCCAAAGTTAGGCATTCCTGCCTTGTGCCGTAGACGTGAGAGTTTTATTTTTCCTACCTGGATGTAGAACTGCGTTGTTCTCCCTTGCTGAATGCCGTGATAGGCATAAACTGCAGAAATCCTTTGATTCAAGTTGCAATCTCACCCGAATTTAAAAAATCACATTTATTTTCCCTGTCCTGCTGTAACATGCCAGCAGCAAAAACTGACTGCTTTGGTTAATTGCCACTCAGCAAAATTAGTTCTGAATGCCAGAAACCTGTTGGGTATCTTTGAGGATTCAGACATGAACAGGCCAGAGGCTTCCTAGAGCCAAAACTAGCCCTATGGAATTGCAGGCGCATCTCTAGCTTAGCTTTCCCTGGCCAGCTTCAACCCAGATGTCCAACATCTGGAGCCTATTGGCGCCAGAAAAGAAATGGGTGCAACAATAGCGCCATCTCCTGTCTCTGAAATGCAATATCAATAGTCCTTGATTTACGATCATTTGTTTAGTGACCCTTTCGAAGTTAGAACAGAACCCCCCCCCAAATGGCCTTTGTGTCTAAGGCAAGACTAGAACTCACTATCACCTGGTGATTGGCCCAGAGTCACCCAGGTGGCTGTCATGTGTAAGATGGAACTAGAAGTCACTCTCTCCTGGTGACTGGCCCAAAGTCATTCAACCAACTTTGTGCCTAAAGCGGGACTAAAACTCCCAGTCTCCTGGAGATTGGCTCAAAGTCACCCAGCCGGCTTTCATGCTTAAGGCAGAACTAGAACTCCCAGTCTCCTGATGATTGGCCCAAAGTCACCCAGTTGGCTTTCATGCCTAAGGCAGAACTAGAACTCACCGTCTCCTGGAGATTGGCTCAAAGTCACCCAGCCGGCTTTCATGCTTAGGCAGAACTAGAACTCCCAGTCTCCTGATGATTGGCCCAAAGTCACCTAGCTGGCTTTCATGCCTAAGGTGAGACTAGAACTCACTGTCTCCTGGTGTTTAACCCAAAGGCACCTAGTCAACTTTCATGCCTAAGGCAGAACTAGAATTCCCAGTCTCCCAATGATTGGTCCAAAGTCACCCAGTTGGCTTTCATGCCTAAGGCAGGAACTAGAACTCACCGTCTCCTGGAGATTGGCTCAAAGTCACCCACCCAGCTTTCATATGTAAGGCTGAACTAGAACTCACCGTCTCCTAATGATTGGCCCAAAGTCACCCAATTGGCTTTCATGGAACTAGAACTCACTATCTCCTGGTGATTTGCTCAGCGTTACCCGGTTGGCTTTCATGCCTAAACTAGACCAAAATGCTTTTCAAAAACTTGTTAACTGTCTGAACTTCATTTTTAGGGAACAGTTCGGGCCATAAGATCGAAGACGTCAACGAGGATACCATCGGGGTCCTGGTGCGGCTGATCACGGAGAAAAAAGGTGGGGTCCCTTTCAGAGAAAGGCTTCCGTGCCCTTTTCACAGACCTGGGGTGCGTTTGTGAGTCCTGTCAATTTTGCATGGGTGTCAATCACTCTGTGGGAAGGACGGTTCATTGCATTTGTTTCGAGGAATAATAAAGATAAATAAATTCCTTTGAGACCAAGGATTAATCCAGGGGTCTCCAACCTTGGCCTGAGGAACTCTGGGAGTTGAAGTCCACCTCAGTCTGAGGAACTCTGGGAGTTGAAGTCCACCAGTCTTAAAGCAGCCAAGGTTGGAGACCCCTGGATTAAGGAGACCCCAGACCCACAACAGACACCAATACTCTGCCTTATTTGTAGCCTTTGACCGGGTGCCGAATCATTGGCCCTTTCTGTTTCTACATCACAAGCATTGTATGTGTGCAGGTAGTCCTCAACTTATGACCATCACTGAGCCCGCAATTTCCATTGATAAATGAGAGGGTTGTTTAGTGAGGATGGCGCCATTTTACAACTTTTCTCGCCGCCTTTCTTAACTGAAAAAATTCCCCGTTTTGCAACCGATCTTCCCACCTTTGTTAAGCGAATCACTTTACCGTTGTTAAATGAGTAACCAAGTTGTTAAGTGAATCTGGCTTTCCCCATTGGCTCGGCTTGTCAGAAGGTCCCAAAAGGGGATCCCGTGATCCCCGGGATGCTGAAACCGTCATAAATGTGAGTCAGTTGCCAAAAAGTCTCAATTTTCGATCATGTGTCCGTGGAGATGCTGCAACAGTCATAAGGGTGAAAAATGGTCATAAATGACTTTTTGCAGTGGTGTTGTAACTTTGAACGGTCACTCAATGAGCCGTTATAAAGTCGAGGACTACCTGTATGTGAAGAAAGCATAGATGGAAGCTGCAGCCCGTATGACCGAAGCCCCTTCGAGTGATTCAAAATTCGGACAATTGGCAGCCGGCAGGTATTTAGGACGGCTGCACCGTCCTGGGGTCACGTGATCCCCCCTTTTGTGACCTTCCCAGCTGACGTCCGACAAACAACCGCAATGGAGGTACCCAGATTCACTTAACAACCGCATGGTTCATTTAACAACAACTGCAGCGGTTCGCTTAACAAAAAATACAACTGGCAAAAAATGTAAAATGTAAGACTTTTTCAAATGGATAATAAAGTGGATAAAATGTGTTGGAGATGTAAAGTGGAACTTGGGACATATGCTCATACGTGGTGTAAATGTAATGGGGTTGAACTTTTTTGGTCTAGGATAGAAAATGAAATATTTGAAATGATTAAGAAGAGGGTCAAATTGAAATCGGAAACCATATTATTATTAATATTGAACGAAACAACATTAACAACTGGAGAAAGAGAATTGGTGAGGATTTTGGTTATAATGGGGAGAATTATAATTGCTAGATATTGGAAATTAAATGTTGACTTAAAATTAGAAGAATGGTATAATGAAACATGGAAATTTGCATTAAATGATAAATTGACTTGTGATATTAAAATTAGAAGTGGAATATACAAAGAGAATGTTTTTTGGAACACTTGGCAACCATTTGTGGACTTCGCACTTGGGAGATTGGATGAATCGGCACCAGTACCTTATCAAAGAGATTTTTGGAAGAACTGAAGACTTTAATTTCCTAAAACTTCCTTTCCATTTGTATAGCACGTTGGGGGGGAAATTTTTTCTTTCTTTACTATTGATTTTTGTATTGTTTTTTTTTCTGTTATTCTTTAACAATAAAAATACCATAAAAAAAAAATGTAAAATGGAGCACAATTCGCTTCAAACTGCTTTGCTTGGCAACGGAAATTTAGGGCTCAGGTGTTCTCGTAAGTCGAGGGCTACCTGCATATGTTAGCATTCAAGCAGGGAATTTGGAAAAAAAAATAAGGAAAAATAAAATAAAAATAGCTTCTGATTGGACAGTTTTCTGGGTGCATCATGGATTTTGTTTGTCATTGCTGTCTTCCAGAATATATGTGTGTGCCTTTGTGTCCGTGTCCAAATTTGCAATTCATGTCCCACTGCAGCATTGGATGGTTTAAGCCCCCATCCAGAAATCAGGGTTTGTTTTTTGCTTTGCGATGCAATGGAGAAATCTTGCTTTCCTTGGTACCTTTGTTAAAAACTTTATTTCCCCAAAATTTCTTGCCCACAGAAAACGCAGCTGTCCTGGAGGAGATGCTGAAGGAATACCACAGCAAGCAGCTCTCACAGCCGATTTACAAGCCCGTGAACAAGTAGGTCACCCACTTTCCTTCTATCGGGGGCACCAACCTCCTTTTTTTCTAGCCTTTCAGCCCTGAGAGAGAGAGAGAGATGAGAGAGAGACATGATAGATAGAGTGGTAGGTAGGTAGATAGGTAAATGATAGATAGATAATAGGTAGGTAGGTAGGTAG